AACTAAGCCAGCGCCACGGTCTCTAAAACTCAGTCTGTATTGGATTATTTATAAATAGAACTAAATATAAATAGAAGAGACCAGACTTTGTGGCATTAAGTTAAAAGTTTAAGTACAGAGGGACCGCAGTTGTTAAAGATAAAGGGTATATTTAAACCATAATACCTAACTTAAGACAACGATAGCATCGCAGCGGGATAAGTAGACAACTAAAAAAATGTGAGAAATTGTAACCGACCCTCATAGATCTTGAGTTAAAAGACCTAGACATCTCGCATTTAAGGTAGGGTAGTCTCAGACTTCTCGGACGTCTATATAACATTATAGGACAACTTCAAGTCAAAATAGAAAGTTTGCAACCTACTTGTTAGTCCTATATTGCATTAAAGAAACTAGTCACGTTTGAAGCATAATTTAATTCAAGTAAGGGCAGAAATAAAGTTAATTTTATTTGACGTATCCGCGACAATTTTCCCGCGCGCTCGTCCGCCAGACTATACACTGCTATTGAATAAATGTCGCCGATCGATTGTGAACCTTCGTTATTTTATAATATAACTAGGTGTATTAGAAACTGATAATAACTTTGGACTAAAAATAGGTTATAATTTGACATGCCGCTTTTCAATAGTTAACTATTTTTATAATAAATTATGAATAAATCTGTATTAAAGATGAATAATTCTAATTACATAGTTATACGGTAGTTTTATATAATTAGATAAGTAAAATTTGTAATAATAAATAAAATTTTATGTGGATAAAAGTTGATTTTTAAAATGACTAAGTTTACAACATGACGGTGACATACCCGCTACAAGGTGCCGGCAGGAAGTTTACGCGGCACGTGCGCTCGCTTCCTCGCACAGGATGTTTTAAAATCCACGCGATTTCAATCGCCATGGGACTGCGCTGCCAGTGAGGCGACTGTTTTCAATTACAATTGCGAATGTTGCCGTGTGCCACCTACTAATGTCCTGTTTACACAATTAGGGCTTGATTGCTTTTGTGCTTAAAAAAGCGACTTTTTGATCACCTGATGATTATATTTTAAGTCAATTCTGATCAAAAATACTACATACATGAGCGTAGCCTAACTATGATCATGGTCTATGCAACTAGCAAACCGTGTGTTCTTGGGTTTCTTCTTTCTTTTGTGTTTCGACCGCATTTTTGGTATTGACTGTCAAGTGTGAAATTTCTTATGAAGCATTGTAGTTTGTACCTAGACATTTTTAGGTTAGGTTTGGTATTTACAAGTCGTAGTCAAGGTAGGGCGCTTGCCGCTAGCTACATCTTATGTTTAACATTTAGCTCTGTCTTCCAAAAAAGAATAGGCAAAATTCAAACAGAATGCGGGAATACTTCCGTTGACCGAACTGAACAACCGATTGTTTATTGACTCAATTGTTGCGGTTACGGCAGAGTGTAATTTGCGGTCACATGATGTGATTGCGGTCGACTTCTAATCATTTCTGATGCGCCAAATGTTAACTGTAATAATTGCAATATATTATTTTTAAATGCAAATTTTAAAGATGGGAAAAAGATTCCTTTGTTAGCTCTGAAGAGCATTTACAAAACTTATACAACTCACAATAAAACTGTCTGGTTTTTGACTAATAAAAAAAATAGGTGGCATAAATCTTTTTTTAAAATCATAGACAAAAGAACAGCCTCTATGCACGCGTAGAAAACGGTGTTTACTAAAATTAATACAAAAAACCGAGGCGCGCGCCATCTGGTGTCGGCGTTCAGAGACCGCGTTATATAACTGTTTGTTTAACAAATAAACTATCTCGGCGCCCGGCTTCGCTTGATGCACTCCCTGGTGCGTACTGGCGATAAACTAAAGGCATGCATTAGAAAACAGAATTATAGTCAATACAGTGACGTTTGTCACTTGTTTCTGTCCTAATAAAATACAGAAACTTATCTAACTAATACCCGTAAAATATTCTCATCGGTACTTCAAAAAAATCGTACTTTCAAAGTCTACATTTCTTTTAAGTTCACAACATACGCTCAGATTTATCTGACAGTTTTATCTGTATAGCCCATTGTTCAGATAAATCTGACAAAACTTTTTAATTTTCAGTTTTGCCTACACTTTTGATTTGAAAGTACTAAGACGCCTTTACCATTATTACTAAAACAAAGTGTTAACGAGTTGACAAAACTACATTTTACACTTCATTTATATCTGTCTTGATTCCATAACCCTTTAGAAATAAATCATCCGAAAATACTATCGTTGAAAAGCTATTTTAAAACTGGGGCTACGTAACAATAAAAAGCGTAATCTATACTGGTTGATGTATCCATTTTTAAATACGGCCCAGGTTAACCCTTCAGTAATGATATACGAGCTTAAGGCACGTGTTATATGAAAAGTAACATTAAGCAGGGTTCAAGTAATCTCCTATCCCTTTTATATGTAGAATCTATTTATGTTTATCTGTATGTATACATATAATAAAATTGGAGTGTATATTTGTAATATCAAAACAAAATTCCAGATTTCGGGAAGATGCTGTATTTGTGTCGCTGATAACGAAAATCGCATTAAAAAATTGTCTGTCTGTCTGTATGCAAGCCGCATTTGTTCCGGGTAAACTCCGAAACAGGTGGGCCGATTTTGATTGGACTTTCACTGAAGGGAAGCTAACATAGACGGGCATATTACAGACTACTTTTTTTATCTTAAAATTGCGTAGACGACTCGACGACGATTCACGGGCAACAGCTAGTTTACAATATTATTCTGAAATACTGTATCAATCACATCTTGCCTGTTATGCCCTTCTTTTTCTTCTTCTCTTTTTAATAATAAACCACGTAAGAGTCTTGGTGGCCAGTATGCAACCTCTTTGGCTGTATTTATACTTTTTGTCAGCAAAAGAGGTTGTATTACGCAATGAACATTGACTCCATTAGTTTTGTTAAAGACCCTGAAAAAGAATTTTTATTAATATGATACCAAATATAGGTCTTTATAGGTCTATATATAGGTCTTAATTATAGGTCCAAATATAGGCTTCTCTTTCTTATTGTCCTTGATGGTGTAATGCGTAAGGTTAACGATGGCAAACGTCGAGGTATAGAATGGGGGTTATCTAGCAACTTGGATGACCTAGACTATGCTGATGACCTCTGTCTGTTGAGCCACAACCGTGCTGACATGCAAGCAAAATTGGATGACTTACAACAGGAGGCTGCGAGAGTTGGCCTGAAAATCAATGTGCGAAAGACTCAAGAGATGCGTACCGAGGGAAGTAATACGATGCCATTGTCACTAGGTGACGTTAACATTGAGCAAGTGCAGAAGTTTACTTACCTCGGTAGTGTCGTGTCAAAGTCTGGAGGTACAGACGAGGATATCACCTCTAGAATAGCCAAAGCCAGGGCCGCCTTTGCACAACTTCGCCCCATATGGCACTCTAAGAAGCTTACGCGTGGAGTGAAGACCAAATTATTCCGCTCCAACGTAAAATCTGTCCTGCTATATGGGTGCGAAACATGGAAGGTGACGAAAGCTACAACGCAGCGGATCCAAGTCTACATCAATCGCTGCCTCCGACAAATTCTAGGAATCTTCTGGCCAGAAACGATACGCAACGAAGAACTTCTGACACGTTGTAGAGAGCAGCCGATCGGCCAGCAGATAAAACGACGCAAGTGGTTATGGATTGGCCATACGCTTCGCCGGGAACCCAGCCACATTCCCAGGGAGGCCCTGGAGTGGATCCCACAAGGAACACGAAAGCGTGGCCGCCCTAAACAAACCTGGCGGCGTTCAGTGGCGGCCGACTTGAAGGTAATCGGGCTGTCATGGTCCGAGATACAACGCAGAGCCCAAGACAGAGCGAGCTGGCGGCGTACTGTGGACGCCCTCTGCCCCACTTCGGGGACATAGGAATAGAAGAGAAGAGAAATATAGGTCTACTAATATCTTATATAGACTACTGTCTAGCATCCTGTCTACACTATTTTGAAACACGTATGCTTTCAATGGGATTAAATTAAAAAAGCAAATACGACACCGTCGTTATTTATAAAATCATCCCCTTTCATTAATCCATAAAGGAACGTTGAATTAAAAAGGTCGGGTATTTTATACGCTTGTTTATTTCTACGTTTAATTTTATACGGTGGCAACGACCTCTCCCGATCTGTACGTAAGGACGGAACGATAAAATGTATACATATATCTAATGTTACAGAAATTTCAGAAACTGCATTAAAAACTTCCTCACTGCGTAATGTTCCGCTAAATCCGTGTCCCTTAAATGTGTCCCAATTTTACGATGTTGCTACACGAATGTGTAATTTAATACTATGTATTAAGGTTTTAAATAAGTTTAAAATACGCTTGCATTCGACCACTGAAGGTTTAACGGTCATCGTACACTATTACAAATGTTTATGCTGATGTAAAAAAAAGCTTTTATTGCATTTTATACTTTAAGACGAAGAAAATATGAGCTATAATGTTATAATGTTTATATTATCAACAGCATTTTATTTATTAGACACGAGCAGTCAACCGAATGCATTTTGAAGTTTATTACTTTTCACGCACCCTGTATTTCAAAGGTTACGGACTCAACGAAGTTCGTACATTACGTATATTGAATTTAATGTTGGTTTGTAAGTGGGGTGTTTATTTTTAGATATGTTACAGATGTTTCGCTAGTGCAAACGATATTTTCGGACAAATTTCGTCATCGTATCCAATTATACGGTAATCAGAATAGATGTCCCATTTCTGTGCCAGACTTATTTGACAAATGATTTATTAATTTTAATATAACATTTTTAGCGAAATAAAACATTTTTGAAGTCTGGAATAAACAATTTGAAAAAAAGGAACGGTTTTCCAGTGCGTCATAAACGTGGATATCTAAACGTCGTCTGTTTCATAAAACGAATTAATTCTTGCAACTCAGTGTAATAAATTGCAATAAAAACATAGTAAATTATTCGTCGCATTGTTTCAGAACCTAATGGATCCGAATAAGACGAGTTGAAATCGTCGTGAAATATGAAGCGAGCCGACATTGCGTTTTGGCGCGAAATGTCAATCGCTGTCACATTAGTGTTCGCTTTGGCGGGAATCGCCTCCGCGAGAGACATCGTTCTAGGTAAGTACAGATTATATTAGAACCTTTATTTTTATAACATTGGCTGGTAAATTGCATTTGCTTTAAAAAAGTGTAAGTCAATTTTTATCTGTTGTCGTTTGACACATGACTTTATTTTTAATTAGTTTACTGGCTGGAAAAGGCACTTTATATACAGCCAACAACATATAGGAGACTTGTATTCCCAAGGTTATTCTTTTGTACAAAATCACGTGTTCAAAGGTCCCATTGCCTAAAAACTTAACCCAAAACATAACAATGGACATACTCGTGAAGAATTTTTATTAGGCTTATTAAATAGGAAATTATTTATTTCGTATTCCTAATGGTTACGAACGTATATTAAGTAAAATCTTTGAAGTGTTGTTGAGAATTTGAAATTCCGTTGCGCGCGACTTCGCATTCAAATTAATCGAAACCTACATCGATGTTTTGTATCGATTATTTTTGGCAATCGGAAAGGATATCTTTCATATTGTTATTCAATGCAAACGACAGTGGCGCCATTATGATATTATAATTCAAAAAATCGATTCTAATCTTTTGATATTATGAAAAGGGTGATGGTGCAATGCGAAATTTAAATATGGCGCCCTTTTGGTTTGTAAATTTTTCTTTTTTTATTTTACTCACGTTCATTGTTTAAAGGTAACGGTGTAGAATGTTTTATGATAGCGAATAATTATAATTTTACGGTCTTAAATACGACCATGAATAAAAACCTTTTGTAAAATGTAATGAAGATGTGTCTTTACTTTATTTAGGAGTTTTTAGTAACTAGATAATAATAGTTTTAAAGTTTTAGGAACTCCATATTTTATTTAGTAAAATAATAAAATAATTTAAACACGAAGTTATCTACACTAGTATTATAAAGAGGAAAGATTTGTATTTCTGTATGTATTGAAATAACTCAATAACTACTGGGTCAATTTCCAAAATTCTTACACCATTAGAAAGCTGCGTTATCAGAGGAACATAGGCTATGTTTTATTATTTTTTAAATTTCACGCAAACGAAGTCGCGAGCAACTGCAAGTATCCAAATGTATTTATTTTTGGCTTACGAATAACGGAAAGGGTAATTCCTTCACGGGGACAAATCGATTGCAGCTCAACCCCCCATTTGGTACTCATTAACTGCGCCGGATGCTTAGACAATTACGAAACCAGTCAAAAGGGAACCATTGCTTTCTTTTGTACCTTTTAATTGAACTTTAATTCTACAAGTCTACTGGAGAGATGGGTCTTGTTATATTGGTCGTTATGAATTATTAAATGCGACATCCCGGCCACTGGCGTCCAATCAGCTTTGGTCATGTTGATTTGATTTTTTTTTTCAATAAAATCGTCGCCGTGTCGTCTTTTTCTTTTAAGATCTTTACAGCTTTTTGATTTACGATCTTCTTCGCTTTATGTTCTTGTCTGTGCTTTTCTGTGTGTCTGTTTTTACGACTGGATACAAAGATAGATTAAAATTTGTATAATGGAGGGATGGTAAAATAATACAAAGAGAGGTTTTCAATTAAAACTTGAATCACACTTTGTGCTCCAAAAATATAGGTAGATATTGTTTTGTTAAACACGTGTTTAAATTGTTTTGAACTATTGATTGATTAATTAATTTACAATGTATTTTAAACGATTACTTTATAACTAGCTGTTCCCGTGCGGCTTCATCCGCATGGAGTTATGAAAATTTTATTTTATTGCTTACATTTGTCAAATTATCAATTGCAAATGTCAAACTGACATGACATGACAAACCTTGGCAATCTTACTTTCTTGATGTTGGCAGCAACTTATGGTCTCTTTCCCACATTAGGGTTTTTATCCAAAATATTTTCCCCCTGAGTTTAATGGCGTGAAAATATATAGCCTAAAGCGTGTCGTTAGTGCAGGGCTTTTTATCAAAAAAGAATTATTTAAAAATATGCTGTAATTGCTGACATCTTAGGCAACAAAGAAGTGTGTGTTTACGCTTTATTATAATAGTATAGATATGGCCCTCTAAGTTTAAAGTATTTTGGTTATTTTTTTTCATGTTTAATGCAAAATATGTTATGCATCCTATATAAATATCGATATCTGGCGATATTCCTTTTTTAAGAGATAAAATTAAAAAAAAGTCTAATTCAAATATAACTATCTGATAGATAAATGATAAATCTTCTTTAAGGAAATAGACGCACGTTCCCTTTATTTGTTCAGGATAGAATTCGGGTCTGCACAGGCGCCCAGATATGCGGATCTTTGTAAATATTTATTGCGTACAAAACATGTTGAACAAAGATAAGTTACAGTCATGATATCTAATGCATCGTTCACACTAGCCAGTACACTTGAACAGTAGCGTGCTATCATAGGACTGGCAAACTGGCATAAGGTAACATTATCTGGCGCTAGTAATTCCATACAAGCTGTATCTTGCTTGCACTGCTATCAAATTTTACTTGCCAAGTGTGAACTAGGCATTATTCTTGGAATTCCAGTAGTGGTCTGTATATTTTGAAATATAGCAGAAACACTCAATAACTGTTTATTTTATGTCTTCCTTATTGTAAGTACCAATACAGATTTACTTGTAGTAAAATTTTTATTTTGCGGAGTATTGGACGCATAATTTAGTGCTCCCTTTCTTTGTTGATTCGGGAGCTATCTATTCTGGTGACCGCTTCGAAGCAACGTTAATTAATTACAATAGTATCACCAGCTCTCTATTCGTCCTCACCGAGGTGCTCGAAGCGTACCATAAATTATGATGACTAGGCCATAGTCAACCACGCTAGTCAACTGCGGTTTGATTTCGTATTTTTATTTTGATAATATATTTTTTGTTTCACCGTATTTAATAACAAGTTTCCCACCATAAGTTGTATCAGTTCGGTCAATGACGTCACAGATAAAAACGCATCGTTATTAATTCATTTCCTTAGCCGTTCTTCCTGTTGCATAACAACAGTACTTTGTTCACCATATGGAGTATGCAAATGCATTTATAAGCTGTAAAAAGAGCCGTATTAAAACGTACCCTCACTTTTTCGTGTAATCGAGTCGATGAACTATCTGTGAGTGATAAAATTCAGCGAAATCTCGTTTATCTTAAAAATGGGAAAGGTAAGTGAATTTGTCGGGGGAGGTGACGTAAAACAACGGGAAATATTAATTTTCAACCCGTTACCTAGATTTAACCAAATAGCGATGCGACTGTCGTCCAAGGATTTTAATTGACAAAGGAGAGGACATTCAGAAAAAGATTACCTCTTCCTCTGTCTAATCCAAGTGGATCCAAGGAGAAGTCCTCTTCTCATCATTTGACATTTATATTCTTTATGTACGTCCTTGTCTATGGGCAGCGGTATACTCAAGTAAAACAAACGGTCGTTACACGATAGAGACTATCTTCTATTGTAGACGTACAATGCAGATTCCCTGCTGCATACAAATGCGGGTTTAGCGTAGGACAAGGCTGAGAAGGCGCCGTGGATGATCACGACTTTCCCAACAGTATTGCGATGTCGGTCGTGTCCATGATGCGTTGATATGATGGACGCCCGTAGGATGCACACACGCCAAAGGCACCGACTTCCGATGTACTCTATTGTTATTCCGCGCGAAATACACCTTACTCGGTAAAAACTATTTATGAGGAATATGTTTTTTTTTAATAAATGTTATTGTTGGAATTTACTCGTATCTGCCAGATCTTTAAAAAACATAAAAAACTAGGAGCGGGTTTAAATTAGTGATGAACTGATATTTTTTAGGGACTATCTTTGGGTTGATTTAAGATAAAAAAAAGTTTTTACAACTAATCGAAGGCATACTTACTTATATTTGACTCTTACTTAAAATCGGTAACACTATAATTGGTATAGCTTTCCAACAATAACTACGATGAATCATAGTTTAAAATTATTCTTTACAATTTAAGAATGTGGCTTCAAAGGAGAACAGAAATCTGATCGGACATAAAAGTCTGGCATTCCCCGCCTTGTTCCTTGACAGTCTATTAACCTACCGCAGTCGATTGTTTTGAGGACTCATTTTAATGGGACGTAATACATTTGACATCTATAAAAACCCCCAACGGAGTCTAAATAAACAAATCTCGTTGAGTAAAGAGCTTAGACTTTTAAGAGACAGGATCTGTCAAGCACTTGCATTTCCCTCTGTCAAAAACAAATAAGTTCTGAACTTGTATTAGGGGTCGCTTTTTCGTTAGAGAGAACATTTCTGAATTTGTAAAATCGTTTTAATATTATTTGCCATCATAATATACACATATGTGAATGTCATCTTTGCTTCATCCCCCGAGAAAGAGTTTGAATTTTTGAGTACTCCGAATTTTGGTTAGTCCTTCTCTACATTATCAAAGGAACAGAGTACATACAGAAGTGGAGATGACGCTTAAAGTATCGTAAAATTTTTATAGTTGAAAGGGAAATAAATAGTTTTTCGCTCGCTCCATTTAGAAGTTATACAATAAAAAGTTTACAGCTGGAAGAAAATAGACTTGTGGATAATGGTCCGGTGCTACGGCGGCCATCTTTAAACCTGAGATTCTCGAGGTTAACGTAACTGAAAAAAGAAAACAAAATTAAAAATTATCGACATCCATAACATGAAACTTCACAAAGAGAATAAACCTGCACTTTTTTCACGACAAAAGATTCATTACTAACTAACTAACTATCGGTCGTGACTTAGTCCGCGCGGAATTAATAACAATAGTAAGTAGCCTATGTCTTCATCCAGACTATGCTCTACATCTATGCCAAATTTAATCGGGATCCGTTCAGCGGTTTAGGCTACAAACTCTAACAGACATTCCTCTATACTTTCATTTTAATATTAAAATTAAAAGCAAAGAACAAAATCTTACACCGCTTAAAATAAATATTTATCCATCACAAAGACACCCACAGACATTCAGCATAAAATAACTACGGTTTAAGTAAACGACAAGACATTTCAAACGCGTTGCATCGCTGATATATT